TTCCCTCTGCTTCCTGCAGCACCTGTAAGGTAGATGTTACTTCCCCACTTGAGGTGAGAAAGACTGGGGCTCCCAGGGGGACCTGAGAAACTTGCTGGAAGTCCTGCTGCTGTTGAGCCACAAGCACCTGGAGTCCAATCTGAAACTACTGATGCCAGAGTCTGTTCTACCTCATGCACTTGGGAAGTAAAGCTTTCTAGGAAGCCCAGGTGGCATCATTATCACCTATGTACAGACACCCCTGTGTACAGATTTTTGTTTTTGCTAGAATAGCTCAGGAAAGTAGGAACATTGTCCAGAAGACAAAAAAAGATTTTATTATTTAAAAAAGAAATTTTTTTTTAAAGATTTTATTTATTTATTTGAGAGGGAGTGAGAGAGATCACAGAAGGAAAGGGAGAAGCAGACTCGCTGCGGAGCAGGGAGCCTGACATGGGAATCGATCCCAGGACTCCGAGATCATGACCTAAGCCGAAGGCAGATAGATGCTTAACTGACTGAGCCACCCAGGTGCACCCCTCCCCCCAAAAGATTTTAAATGGCATTTTTTCACAAAAACAAAAAATCTCTGATGTGTTGGGATGATTTAATAGAGAAGCTGAAATAGAAACAGAAGAAAGGTGCTTCGTCCACACTGATCGCCCTGGACAGCTCTTCTGTACGGGTGGGCCAGCGGCCTCCCTTCAGCTCAGAGGGAAGCCTCCCGTGGTGGCTCGTTGTTCCACTGTTGTCTTGCTGTCCCATGGCTCCTGGCTCTACTGCACAGGGGGTGGAGTTCTCGTTTTCTTGGATGGAAATAGACTGGCACAGGGCAGCAACCACTTGTCACAGTGGACAAGCTGCTGCCCGCCAGGGCCATGCCAGCCACGAGAGGCAAGCTCTTGGAGGGCCCTGGAAGCACGGGGGCAGAATCAGCTGCATAATTTGCAGGACCCAGTGGAAAATCAAAATATCCCTGGGGTCCTTGTTCAAAAATACAGAATTTGAAGATGACAACAGCAGAGGATTAAACTGAGCACGGGGCCCTTCTGAATGTGGGGCCCTGGGACTACAAAGGCCCAGGCCCATGGAGCCAGCCCTGGCAGGGGAATGAGGGGGGCTCTCACTCAGCCCCTTTTTTGCTGAAGGGGAGATGCACTTCTGCTTTCCCAGCTGGGGCCGGGAAGGCAAACTTCTGTCCCTTGTCCCAGACTGAGCTTTCTCTAGAGGGCTCACAGTTGGGCTTCAGCAGCCAGGCCTGCTCCTGAGTATGTGGGCTCTTCCCCCCTAACATTGGTCTCAAGGACAAATCTGGCAGAGGAAATACACATGCGATGAGTCAGCCCCATAGAGGGTGAGGGGTACAGCTATAAAAGTTGGGCATGGTGTCCCAGCAGCCCCAAGGACAAAGGACCTGCATCACAGAGGGATGCTGTTTGAGCTGAGGAGCATGAGTAGAGGTTTTCCAGGCATGGAGAGGGAGGATGGGGAGGTCCCATCAGTGGGCATAGCACGTGCAGAGGAGTAGGTGAGTCTGAGCGTGTGAACAAGCTTTGCCCTTTTGCAAGTGGGAAGCAGCTGAGGAGAGTGGGTTGGGGCCTGAGGCAGGCGTGGGCCATATGGGTAGGACATAGGTGCCAAGCTAAGGTATCTGGCTGTTATTTGGCAGGTGGGTGTTCTTCTTCAGTGCCATGACTTGGGATGTCTGTGGACAATTCAGGGAATGGCAGGAGGTAGGCAGAAGGGCTCAGGGATTTACCTAGGGAAGAGGGATTAGGAAGAGCAGTCAGGGTGTAACTGTCATCGGGTATCTCTGGGTCTGTCCTGTAGATGAGGACATGGCCCATGGCGGGGGTGGGGGTAGGTGGGTGCAGCCTTGGGACAGCTGGGTTCAAGTGGCAGCCAGGTGAGTCTCACCCCCTTGTAACTAAAGCTTCCTGCAGGAGCAGTAGGGGGAGAGGGGGGTAGGCAGAGGCTTTATGGTCACTTCCAACCAGAGGCCATGGTTTTGTGACTCTTCTGTGTTCTCTGGGTTAAGAGATCTCTCCAGGCAGGAAGCAGGAGAGGTGGTAGGGGGTGAAGGACAAAAGAAATACTCCTTGAATAAAACCTTCTAAGTGTCAAATCCAATGAGGTTCTCTTCTCCAGTGATTTCAGTGTTTCCCTAATTTTCCTCCTCTGGTCCCAACACCAGCCAGTGCTGACTGAGTGGGCCCGGCCACTGGGCGTTGGTTTTCTCATGAACTGACTTTGACAAATCAGTATGCAAGTGGCCAGCCGTGCAGCAAGCACTAACGCCCAGTACAAAGAACTTAGTGAGTCCCATCACGGGCTTCCCACAGCGTCCCCCTCTCTTGTCCCCTGCTTTGGGGCCCTGTAGCCTGTGCCCATGCCCAGCACTTTGTTTCAATGAGCTCCTGGTGGACTTGGCATCTGTACAGCCCCGGGTTTGGTGGGTTTGGGGTGGGGGCTGGGCAGCCCTTTTGAAAGCATGGATCAGGCCAACAGCCCTGCGGGGAAACCAGGAGCATCCCAGTGAGGCTCAAATAACAAGACTGGATGGGAGGGAGGGCTGCTATGTCCATGACCTTCCTCTGGAATCTCGGAGTGGGAGATGGAAAGTTTCCAGGAACTGGGGAGCCTTGAGTATCAGTTGAAGTCCACAGTAATCAGGAAAAAGTCTCTTTCCAGGGGCCTGACAGACTCTGGATTCTTTCCTGATCCCCCAGGGAAATGGACTCTGAAAGGAAGGTAGCAGAACAGATTTACTTGTTGTTCCTGAAGTGCTTTTTATAGCATTCCTGTGCCCAGCAGGACCTGCGAGACCAGTGGCTGAGTTAGCGCTGCTCTCTGCTTATCACATGGCTGGCCACACGCTAGGCTGCATGGGCCTGACAGCTAGGACCTGGGTTAGACCAAAGCTTTGGCTGAGGAAAGCCACCAGAACTGCCTAAAGGCCAGTTTTGCTCATTCCCCCGGCCGGCCAGCCAGTGTATGAGCCTTTCTAAATCCTGGGTCACTGGCTGCTCCCACTGATCCGGGGACTCCCCTGGCTTCTCCACTTACTCCCCAGCAAACACAGACACATTGGGAGGACTCGGGAGATTGACTTCTCTTGTTACTTTGTCCCTTGATGCAGGCAAGTTTCCCTGGGGGCAGGTTATGCTCCCAGATGGACACTCCTCAGTCTTTCAGTAACTAAATTCCTTTGGCTCTTGGCTATTTCTTTGCCACTTATTCCGTTTCTGAGCCCCAGATGCCTTTGGGAGGCAAGGACTTTTCTTTCTTTTTTTTTTTTTATTCTTATGTTAATCCCCTACATTACATCATTAGTTTTAGATGTAGTGTTCCATGATTCATTGTTTGTGCATAACACCCAGTGCTCCATGCAGAATGTGCCCTCCTCAAT